GAAGCGAAGGTTCATTAACGGAAAAGTGTCTGACTAGAGAAGGGAAGCTTTCTTAATGATATAGTGGGCTAGCGGTAAGACTTAGTACTATTAGCCTCATTCCCTTGTTATTGAACGCTTTGAGTTCTGAGCGCCGTTCTCCAGCATCGTTTCAATCAAATGAATGAAATCGCGTTCATCTGCAAGTTGCTCCTTTTCTTCTGTTTGGAGTCTGGCCTAGTCTTTTCGGGAAAATTCTTGTGAAATGAGGATTACCTTCAGAATCCCCTTCCCGTTACGACTCACTTTCTCCATCCTGCAGTCCATCGTCCTAAATTTCCCCAACATCCTGTATGTGTATGTGTGTTTCCTGTTTCCCCTTTTCTAGAACTCTTTTGCAAAGATCCGCACTTTTTCAACAAAAAACTGCCATGGAGCAGGGGGTGGGGGAGGGGGTATAACGTTAAGTAATGGAAGAAATTCAATATCGTCCAAAATCAGAGACATTTTTCACAGTTTACAATCCCTCCTCCGTCTTCCAGCAATGAAAGACATGAGCGAGGGGAGGGACGAACTCCGTTTGATCAATATTTTTCGTTGTCAGTCAGCCCCCTCCCCTCCCCCACTCAGGGTACGCCATCGTTGTGATCATCACAAGGGGGGGGGTCGTATTTGACCGCGAGGGAGGGGGGTCGTATTTGGTCAGAGAAAAATTTTTTTGATAGTTGATTTTTCTCTTGTTTCACGGACGCTGTGAAGGGGGGGGGGGGCGTACTTGGTCATTTTTGGAAAGGGGGGGGTCGCTATTCCCCCCGCTCGACGGCTCGGCTCGGTTCGATGAGGAAGGACAGAGGGCTGGGAGGGGGTCGTACCAACTCCCAAAAGGGGGTCGTATTTTAGTATGGAATTAGGGGGGGTCGTAATTTTCAGAAAATGATCACAACGCGATGGCGTGCCCTGCCCCCACTTGCTCGACCGATGCTGGAATGTGGGGTTGTATTGCGAAAAAGTCTCAATCGGAATGGTGTGCACCTGAGAGGATCAAAGGCAAAACTTTTGCGTACGCTTCTGGTAAAATCCACAGCTGTAAACATTTGATACGGGAAATCTCATGTCCGAACTGTGAGGTTGCAACTGTTGGACACCATGTCAAAAATAATCAGTTTGTAAAGAGTTGGTGCTGAATTTAGGATCATGAACCAATCTCTGGGGCCAGAGAACTCGTTCGAAGAACAAATAGAATGGACGAATCAAGGGAAACAGTGGCCTTATCCAATTGACAATGAGTACATGCTGGGATCAGAAGCTGAGGTTTGTTTTCTCAAACGCTGTTTTTTTCACTGAAAGTACTTTTTTTCAAATGACTGAAATGACTGCCAAACTAATATCTATGATTAGATGAACCTTTTCTGTTTAGGTTCCATTCTATGAGCACATTTTCTTGGAAAGGCATCTAGCTGGCTTGGGCCTCCCGAAGGATGGTCCCATTGCACACTTCATGGAGTTGGTGAGTAGAAAGATAGACATTTTTGTTATTAATTTGTCAACAGTTTTTCGAGGAATTCAGGTAGCCGGTGATTGATTCAGTTCCCTTTTAGGTATGTGTCGGTCTGTCAAAGAATCCATATATGACTATAGAGAAGAAGATGGATCATATAAAATGGTTCGCGAATTTCTTCAATGAAGAGAAGCAAAAACTGATCCACAAATTACATGAGGAAGAGGCACTGACCGCACAACAAGCGTAGCGCGATCTAATAGTTTGTAGGATCTTCTAGCTGTTAGGTTGAAATGTTTTGTTACCATTTTTTTGTTGTTGGCTTGAGAACGTTTCTGTATATAGTAGTCAATCAATAAAAAAGTTTTCTACCTGTTGATCCTACCTTCTACTCCTACTAACGCAGTTATCAACTTCCATCTCGGTTTGGTTTTTTGCCCAGAAATAACACAGAAACGGCTCAAAGAGATATCAACAATAACGGCTCAAAGTAGTGGAGTAGGAATACCTCTAGCTTTTAAGGCGTGTTTTTTAGGCTGTGGAGCAGACAGGGGAGTCGTATTAGGGCTACTTGACCAAGGTCGCCATTCTAAAAAGACGGGAGAAGAGCAAGGATTGTACGGTAGGGACAGGGACATTCGTAAAGGGGTGCAAGAATAGGAAAGTACGACCCCTAACTTCAAGTTACCTCCTCTGTTACAACCACCCCCTCCCACCCTTTCCGTCCCCGTCTTATCTATAATCTTCTTAAAATTTTCCCCATTCCCGTCTTACCTACAATCTTCCTATGTTTTCCCGGTTTCCTACCGTTTTCTTTTTGACCACATTTTTTTTCAAAATGCTTTTTTTTTCTCCAAAAAAATCTGCTGTCGAGATAGGGCGAAGATGGCCGCAGGCGTTACGTAAGCTAGCCACACGTTTAAAGGGAGAACCGAGAGTCAACAACGTAAAACATTTTCTCAAAGGCAGATTCGGCCCCGCTCACCTCGCTCGGAATCTCCAATATGTGCTCGTTGGAAAAATTCTTCGAGCCATATCGTGGCGGCAGGTCCATCCATCACCAAAAAAAGCTGTTTAATTAGGCCGATCCATTGTATATATATATATATATATATATATATATATATATATATATATATATATATATATATATATATATATATATATATATATATATATATATATATATATATATATATATATATATATATATATATATATATATATATATATATATATATATATATATATATATATCATTTCCATATCTCCCCACCGGGATGAAATGAACGCGCCTATGGCAGATGGAAAAGATAAGGAAGCTTCAAAACGTCACATTGTTTCTATTGGAGCAGCTCCGAAATTAGCTCTTGCATAAGCTTGCGTTCTCTGGCTTATACCCACGAGTCGGACTCCCAACCAGCGATGTGAATAAATTCTGAAAATCATAGGAAGCCGATATACTGGAATTCACGCCCAATCATCCATACCAATCCGCTCCGGAACAGTTAATGGAACTGTTGGGCCATGGCGATTACAGAATCACCCAAGAAATAATTTAGAACTAGGAAATTTCTCGAGCTTCGTTTCCAAGCTATTTATTCAAATTAGATCCCGTTAGGTTAAATAGGATTTTCGTCATCCGGAACACAAATATGACTTTTCCTAAATATTCATAATAATTGAACTTGTTCATCGTGGTTCCAAATGCCCTAGGAGTTCTTCACCAAGATATCGCATCATATTAGAATAGCGCTTCCCATTGCTTATGTATTCTTCGCAACTGGGACTGTATTTACACATCTTTTAGGAGAATTAAGAAGCGTGGAAAACCTAATGGAGAAGCTGGACATTCATCGTATTTCTCAGAGAAAAAGAAGGAAATACATTTTTATTTTAACTCGAAAGAATAATTTATTAAATAAATGCTGTCAATGGCGATAATTATTATGAATCTATTGGAAGAATAACTGAGCATACAAATAAAGGCAAATACCATTATTGCTAAAGCAAACAATATCACAGTGTTTCGATATTGCTCAATAAGTGCTTACAAATAAATGATAAAAACAAAAAATCAAGGGTCAATAACCTTGTGGGAATTGAAGAACTCTTTGTGCAGAACTACCATAAACGCCATGAACAGTACCGTCGTTCAAATTGGTTCACCGGAATTCCTGGCCCTATAGGCAAAGACCCAAATCCTCCTATTAATCGAGCTCAGGTTCTGGACAAGAAGTCCTTCAGATACCCATTCTCAAGATTATTGCCGATTATCAGTGCCTAAATACCTATTGCCATGAATCTAAAAGAGATTTATACATGAAGCCGAACGTCGACGAGCCTATGAAACAATTGAGTCTCGAATCCCAAGTGAACGGCCAGAAGAGAAATGTTTTCATCTGAGAACATAGCAATGTGAAAACTTTTGCCACCACCTTGAATCATCTTCATTCACTTTTGGCAACTGAGCACAGTTTCTGAGATTTAG